TTTCATTTTCATTAACTTCCAGGAACCTTTTAATTTCCTCTTTTATTTCATCAATGATCCATTCATCATTGAGCAATGTTTTGTTCACATTGCTTCCTATTGTTTGCATGCTTTCTACTGCTGTTTTGGTTTTTGATTTCTAGTTTTAATGCTATGGTCAGATAGAATGCATGGGATTATTTCTATTTTCTTATAGTGCTGAGGCTTGCTTTGTGCCCTAAGATATGATCAATTTTGGAGAAGTTTCTGTGGGCTGCTGAGAAGAATGTACATTGTGCAAAAGTTGGATGAAATGTTCTGTAGATATCGGCTAGGTCCATTTGATCTATGCTGTGATTTAGTTCTAGGATTTCTTTATTGATTTTTTGTTTGGATGATCTATCTATTGCTGACAGGGGAGTATTAAAGTCTCCCAGTGCCACTGTGTTGTAGTCTATATATGTTTGATGGAATTGGGTGCATTGACGTTGGGTGCATATAGGTTGATAATTGTTATTTCTTTTTGGTGTATTTCCCCTTTTATTAGTATGGAGTGTCCTTCTTCATCTCATTTGATCAATGTAAATTTGAAGTTTACTTTGTATGAGATAAGTATTGCTACTCCTGCCTGTTTTCTGGGCCAGTGTCTTGGTAAATCCTCTTCTAGCCTTTTACCCTAAGCCAGTGTTTATTTCTGTCATAAGATGAGTCTCCTGTAAGCAACAGATTGCTGGATCTTCCTTTTTAACCCAGGTTTCCAACAGTGTCTTTTGATGGGGGAATTAAGTCCGTTAACATTAGTGTTAGTATTGATATGCAGTTGTTTTTGTCGTTTAAGGGTTTGATTGTGTGTAGCTGAATCAATGTTACTCCCTACATTCTTGTCTTTCTTTCTCCTTTAGTTTTGTACTACTTGTCCTTTCATGGTTTTCTTTGCTTTCATTTTCTGTGTGCAGAATTCCTTGAAGAATCTTTTGTAGTGGTTGCTTGGTGGTCATATATTGTTTTAGTTTCTGCTTATCATGGAAGACATTTATTGTTCCATCTATTTTGGTTGATAGTTTTGCTGGGCAGATTATCCTAAGGTTGAAGTTATTTTTATCCAGTGCCTGGAATGCCTCACTCTGTGCTCTTCGTTTTAAGTTTTCTGTTGAGAAATCTGCTGTGATTTTGATGGGTTTACCTTTGTACATTGTTTTTTCTCTCTTACATCCTTCAATATTCTTTCTCTATTCTCTGTGCTTGTTATTTTAATGATAATATGCCGCTGGGTAGTTCTATTCTGGTCAAGTCTGTCTGGTGTCCTGGAAGCTTCCTGTACCTGAGTGGGCATAGTGTTCTCTAGGGAAATTTTCTGTTATTATTTTGTTGAATATATTATTCGTTCTTTTTGCTTGAACCTCTTCTCCTTCTTCAATGCCCATGATTCTCAGGTTTGGTCTTTTAATGGAGTCAGTGAGTTCTTGCATTTTCTTTTCAGTCTTGAGTTGTTTAACTAAGAGTTCTTCAGTTTTTCCTTTAATTGCCATTTCATCTTCAAGTTCTGAGATTCTGTCTTTTGTTTGTTCTATTCTGCTGGAATGGTCTTCCGTTTTGTTTTGTATTTCTGTTTCATTCTTTTTTCTGAGGTTTTCCATATTATGGGTCCCTTCCTCTTTAATATTGTCAATTTTTGTCCTTATTTCATTTATCTCTATTTATTGTGTCCTGTTTCACTTTGGTATTTATTTAAGGCTTCTATGAGTTCATTTATTTGTTTTTGTGTCTTCTCATATTCTTTATTTTTGTTGTCTTGGAATTTCTTGAGTGCCTCCTATACGTTTTGCTTGACCATGTCTAGTATAATCGCCATGAAATTCTCAGTGATTTCTTGCAGTATTTCTTCTTTTAGGATTTGTTGTGAGTTTCATTGGGTTCCTTGGGATAGTTTATCTTTGTTTTGTTGGAGTCTGGAACTGATTTTCCATTTTCTTCATTTCCCTCTGAATCCTGTATTAATTTATTTTTTTGGTGAGGGAAGAACGATTTCTATCCCTTTTTCATCATCCCATCCCTCCAATTGGTGTGGTTTCTGTCCCTGGTCTATGTGTAATTTAGTAATAGCTAACTTACAATAGTAAAACTAACAAAGCAAAGAAAGAAAGAAAAAGAAAAAAGAAAAAAAAAGAGAGAACCAAAGAAATCAGCAGAGAGAGGTGGTAGACAAACAAACACATAAAATATTCCATGTTCAGGAGCAATAGAGTTTCAGTCTTAGTAGTTCTGGTGGTAACTTTCATCATCCAGTTCTGGTTTTGGTATTTAAGCAGAAGCTCTGTCTTAGTCTCACCAGGTGGTTGGGGAGACTTACCAGTTTTTTTCTCCTGTCTTTCAGAGGCAGCTGCTTAGTCAGTTCCTCCCTCACTGAGTGTGACTTGTCCTCAGGTTCAGGAAGGAGATCTGCTCTGTGGCCCACTAGCCATCCTGCTTTGGAGTTGGGTTTTCATTGTGTTGGTTTATTGGGGGCTTGTTTCTTTGCCTCGTGCCCTTTCTCTGGGGCAAGGTCAGAGATCTGTCTGCCTGCTCTCTGCTGTCAGCATGTTATGCTGGTTTGCTGACTGTTTTTCAATTTAGCAATGTTATCTGACTTTGGATGTTGCTCACTGTCTTAGAAGATGAGCTTTGTGGACTGCTATCTGCCTTATTTCAGGCAGTGGCTTATCACCCACCCACTGTCGACCCTTCTCCCTTTCTAGTCTTTGTTTCCTGAAAGTTCGCATGGAGATCAGCTCCTTGCTCTTCCCCCCTTCTCTGGTGTGCTCAGAGCACCCCACCCCCTCTGCTGTGTGTGTTTTTTTCCTGTTCCTTGTTTATTATTCAGTTTTTTTGTTTTTTGGGGGGTTGGGGGTCAGTCTGTCCAAGAGGCTATGCTGATTTATCACAGGGGTAGCTGTGGGAATACCATGTGCCACTTATTTGCTCACCTGTTCGTCTGTGTCTCCCAAGCAGGTTTGGAGCTGGTGTCTGGTGGCACAGGAGCCCTCCTGCTTTCTCAGTGTAATGTGGTATTGAGAAGCTTTGTACAGTCCGGGGGTTTAGGGTGTCAGAGTTTTGATTCTTCTTGGTGATTTTTTTCTGCCAAGTGTGGCTCCAGTGTCTCAGCAAAATTTTTGATTTACGGAGCTCATGCTGTCTGCTTATGCCCTCTAGTTGCCATCTTGGGTCCTCCTAGTTGGGAATTTTACATTAAATCAAAACCTCACTGTCAAAAATGCAAGGATCCAGGGAACTTAGTACCTATTAACCTTTCTTGCAACAATTACTTGATGCAAAAAGCCTACCCACCAATCTGTGAATCAATATAAAGAATTCATAATGAGGAAACTGCTCTGAAAGTGAGTTCTGAATCTATGTAGATCAGTAGTTCTCAAGCCTAGCTGTTCATTAGAATCACTGAGGAACTTTATAAAAACAACTATAAATAAGGCTCTCTGCAGATCAATTAAATTAAGGTTCACTTAGGTGGGATTTCAGAAACAAATATTTTTAACATATTTGTAGGTGAGAATATTGTATCAACAGTGTTGAAAACTAGCTATTTATATATTGAAACAAAAGCTAATCATTTGCAAAAACAAATGATGGTTACATAATAGAAAATAACTATTACAAACACTGAAAACATAAAAATATATGTAAAAGAAAAATTAGATGAGAGAAAAGAAAGTAGAAAGAACTATGTTTTCTTATAATTATTATTATTTCCACAATAGGCAATAAAAAAAGATTGACTTAACGTTTAAAAAAATTAATGATGCTTCCAAACACAAAGAAATGATAAATGTCTGAGGTGACAGACATTCCACTTATCCTGATCTGATCATTACAAATTGTATACATGATTGAAATGTCACACTGTACCCCATAAACATGTATAATTGCTATGTAAATTGAAATTTTTAAAAATTAAATTAAAGATAGGTTTCAAATTTTCCACTTCATTAGACAGTAATTCATCACTAATGAGTTACTAAAATTCCACAGAAGACCAACTAGTAGCCTGTGGGAGCACATAGGATGGAATGAGTGGAACAACTGCTGATGTTATGACTACAAAAGAATTAGTAATAAAAATAAATAAAATAATAAAAACTGATCAGGGAACAGAGAAACAAAAGCTCTTATTTATTGTTAGTGCAAGTGTTAATTGGTCCAACTTTTTTTAAGAATGTTTATTATTATTATTATTATTATTATAGCATTCTTTTAAATGATTTTAAATGTTCATTTACCTCATCCCAGAAATTTTCTGCTTCTAAGAACTTGTTGTAACAAATGCATACACAAAAGTACAAAGTAGCTACAGGATTATTTATTGCAGCATTATTTGAAATTGTTACAAAAAGCAGTAACAATTTAAACATCCATTAATGGAAAATTGCTGAAGTGTATTATAATAAATCCACACACTGGAATGCTTTCTGATTGATTAAATTAATCAGATAATATTTACCCAAAATTATAAGGTTACAAATTTAAAAGCATTGCGCTTTATTGTATGACAGTTAAACCTCTATTTAGGTGGTTTTTAAAAGTGAATGAATCAGACTTTTACGTTATAGCACAGAAAGATGCCTATGATACGTTGCTGGGGGAAAAGTTGGTTGTTGACTAGTGTGTGTATTATGATTCCATGCATGTGTTCTTGTATTTATTTATGTGTTGATATGAATGAGAGTAATCATACAGAGAAAAGATGCAGAAAATTTCAACACTTGGGAGACTCAGGCAGAGGATCACAAGTTCAAGGTCAGTCTGGGCTACCTAGTGAAACCCTGTCTCAAAAAACAGAAAGAGAGAGAGGGAGAGAGAGACCAAGTATTCAATAGAGGTACTTTGTGAAAAATGAAAACAAGAGAAATGGTACAACTTTTCATTTTTACTGAATGGAATTCTGCAATACTTAACTTTTAAAAATAGGATCTGTTTCTAATTTTTTTTAAAAAAGACATTGGTGTCAACTAAATCACTTTCTCCCTCAGTTCCAGTGTCCTGCCCTGTCCTCACCCTCAGAGCCACCAGGGCCCAAACTTTCGTGGGGGACATTGTGGAGTTTCACTGTGAGGCCTTGAAAGGTTCTCCCCCAATCCTGTACCAGTTATATCATGAGGATGTCATCTTGGGGAGCATCTCAGCTACCTCTATAGAAGGAGCGTCCTTCAACCTCTCTCTGACTGAAAAACATTCTGGAATCTACTTCTGTGAAGCCAACAATGGTCAGGGGGCCCAGCGCAGTTACACAATGACACTCAGTGTCAGAGGTAGGTTTTCCCTTCAATTAGCAGCACAAGGAATAGACCTTCTCCTCATTACCTGCAGTAGGCAAAGCTGGAGCTGTTTCCACAAAGCCACCTGTTGTGTGACATCATGGAAGCCTCTTGTCTACACAGCCTCCATCTAAGAGTTTGGTATTTTACCTGTTGAGGAATTTGCACCTTCTTTTTGTTACCTACACCTTGCCTGGTAGCTACATCCTTCAGCCATTGTGGCCAAACATCCATAATATAGGAGTAAAGTCTTTTTAAAAAAAGACTGTATTTTGGTCAACAGTGAGCAATAAGAAGGATGTTATGAATTCAATGTGTCTCATTTCAGAAGAGAATTAGCTGTAGTTTCTGCTTGTCAATCAATAAAAAGACCAGTACATTCCCTCATTTTCTCACACATTTCTCCCTAGTTTCTTCTCCTCCTCTGCCAGACAGGCTTGAGTTTCCATCCAGAACCCTTGACAGAAGGTATCCAACATTGTTCTCTTCTCTTCTTGTGTATTCTTGCTCTATGCAGCAAGATTGTTGTGATCCATTTGTCATTGGCTGACCACCTTGCCATACCTACTTTCAATGTAGATTTCAGTGCCTCACTTTCATTCTTTTTCTCTACTTTACATTCTGCCATTATTTCATGACTCTAACATCCACATGTGTGGCTCACCCAACACCACAGCCTATCCTCCCACATCAGTCATGCACTCCCACATATACTCACTAACCCATCTTCAGAATGGCATGTTAAGCATTTATTACCTGACTACAATTCCTATCTTTCTACTTGCTTCAACTCCTCCTATCACTATTGTTCTCAGACATCAATGGAGCCCCCAGTTCACTAACACCTTCACTCTTTCCTTAATGCATCAGACAATACCAGCCTTGACTCCACCAAACTGAGTGTCTGTATCCAAACAATAAATCATTCCTCCACTTCCTAGGGAACAGAGGAGAAAATTCTGCTCCCTGTATCAGGGAAAAAATCTCCATCTGATCTCTACATTCCATTCTTTCATGCATTCTCAGAAACTTTATAAGCAATTCCCCCTTTTTCCCCAATGGGTCTCCACATTCTCTTCAACAGCCTTCCCATTAGCATTTAACATAGTATATTTCTTCTGTGTCTAAGAAAAACCATCTGTTGATCCTATTCCACTCACTGCTCCCTTATAACTAAACTTTGTCAGCAACCCAGGTTGTCTCCATTTCCTCATTAACTCACTAGGTTCTAAACCTCTAAGTTCTCCCAACCTCTCCTTAAAAATGTTCTCACAAAGGTCACCAACAACCTCCATGTATTTAGATCCAGTAGCCATTTTCCAACCTTCATTTCTTCTTTCATGAAGTTATCTTTGGCTTCAGTGACCCTACTCTCTTCTGATTTCTCTCTCTCTCTCTCTCTCTCTCTCTCTCTCTGTCTCTCTCCTCTTTCTGTTTTCTTTGCTGGCTCCTTCTTCTCCAGATTAATCTTTAATCTGGCATGTTCCAGAACTCTGACCTGTGCCCTTTTCTCTTATCTATATTTTTTCCTCTGGGTGATCCTGCATATAATATTATAAATGGCCTTGTCACCTACAAATAATGCTTTCTACACATCCATCTTTAAAGGAGACCTCCTACCTGAGCACTTGTACGTGCCATATCTTCACTCACATTTCTCAAGAGTTTGTCATTCTGAACACTGTAAAACTGAACCCTGAAATTCCACGCAGAACTGTGCCTCTTTCAAGTGTTCCTGTCTCTGTCAAATACACCTTTATTCATCCAGATACACACAGCATAAATCCAGGAGTTTCCTTTGACATTTCTCTTCCTCATCCCTCATAGCCAGTCCTATTGATTTTACTTCCTAATGTTTTTTAGATCATCTCTATCTTTACTGCCACTATAGTAGTCAAATCTACCATCACTTTAACTACTGCATTGTCACAAGTATGTGACAATCCATCTATTCCACTTGGTTCAACTACAATCTGTTTTACATAATGAGGTCAGAATAATCTTCCCGTTGCTTGATGAAGAAGGATGAAACCATCAACATAACTTACGAAGCTATACCTGGATCTCCAGCTTTCTATTTCACAGCACTCTTTGGACCCTTCTCTTACTGCTGCCTCCATCTTCTTCTAATAACTCAAGTGTGACCACTTTCTTCCCAATACACGTCCTTGCCCATACTGCCTGCCTGCCTGGCAACCACTTTACCTTCCATTTCACTTGTCACTTCACAAGAAAGCTTCCCCTGACTAATCTATATGATCAGTTTGCAGTATTATATATTTCACTTCATAGCACTCCATCCTTCATCAATTTATCAATTATCAATGTTTTAATTCTATATTTTTACTTTAGTTTAATTGTTGCCTATCATTTCTTTTAGAATATAGGCTCTATGAAAGCAGGTTCTATGTCTTTCCAAAGTTTGAAGATCCACCATATAGATCAGTTCTTGAGATCTATTGATTGCTTATTTTTATTTTTGATAAAAGATTACAAGAATGAGCACATATATCAAAACTTTTTGTCATGTGGGTCACAGTTCTGATGAAGTTCAAACTCTAACATACTTCTGACTTTGTAAACCAAAGGTCTCTTATGTTCTTCTTTTTCTATTGGACCTGAGATTAAGCATAATCTTTGTTTTCAGATTCTTCAACCACATTTGAGTTTGTATTTCTAAGTACACCAAACTATATATATAGTAATACACAAATATTCTCACTTCCTGAGGCCTAAAGAAATTTTAGATGAGCTCTGAGTAATATCAAGAAGGCATTAAAAACTAAGAAAAACATTTTCCTGTTGGAAATGTCATCACTATTGAGGAATATATTCAAACAGAAAGAGCTTATGGCTAATTATTTTTCTCCCCTCAGTTCCAGTATATTATCCTGTCCTTGTCTTCAGGACACCGAGGACCAGGGCTGTGGTGGGTGATATGATGATGCTTCACTGTAAGGTCCTGAGAGGCTCTCCCCCAATCATGTACCAGTTTTATCATGAAGATATCATCATGGGGAGAAGCTCAGCCCCATCTGGAGGAGGAGTGTCCTTCAACCTCTCCCTGACTACAGATCATTCTGGAAATTACTTCTGTGAGGCTGACAATGGTCTGGGACCCCAACGCAGTGAGGTGTTGACAATCAAAGTCACAGGTGAGCTGACCCTCACACTAACCATACAACCAAGAACTGACTGTGCCTCCTCTTCCCAGAAGCTTAAGGTGAAGCTATAGTCCTCCTCAGGGCTGTTTTCTGGCATGGCATCTTAGCATAATTCCTGTCCCTACTTGAAAGTCTGAGATCCTTCCTGTCGTGTACTTCAGGCACCTGAACTTTTCCAGCAACACAGTTCAAACACCCTCTTGAATGTGATCAAAACTCCACATTTAAAAATGCCAAGAAGAATTTTTACAGTATAGACTATTCTCTGATATGAAATTATGGCACATAGAAAAACTGAAGAATTCTGATGACAAGCTTCTCTGCCTCCCCAAATAGTAAGCCAGTCCTTCTCTGGTTCTTCTCTCATTGGCTCTCAGCAAATCTTTATTCTTGAGTATACTTTATTACCAGGGGTAAAATGCTTTTTTCATACCATATTAAAATTATATGTAATGTTTTTATTTCAGGAGAGACATTCAGTGATCCTTAAAGACAGGGCACAGGTGAGCAGGGCAGGGAAAGAGAGACAGGATAAAATGTAATGAGAATGGAAGGCAGCTGTGCTCACCACTATGTGCAGAACAGGTTCTGCCTGGAAGCGAGCAGGGTAGGAGGGAGAAATGGTCCCAACAATGTATGCACATGTGAATAAATGAATAAAAATTTTAAAAAATATAAAAATTGAATGTAAAAAAATAAAATATATAGGAATTAATTTAAGCAAGGAAGTAAAAAACTTATACATTGAAACTACAAAACCTTGCTGAAAGAAATTTAAGACCTAAATAAGTGGAAAACATTCTTTGTTAGTTGATATGAAGACTTACTCTTATTAAAATGCTAATTCTGGAATGGGGGAATAAAATACTTGCCTGGCATGTTTAAAAAAAAAAAAAGAAATGAGAATGGCTCATAACTATCAAAGTCCTCCATTCACAGAACTGTTTGTTGCTGTCATGCCATTAAGTGTAATAACCAAAGGCAAACCATTCTTGTGTGCTTTGAATTTGCTTGGTGATAACCCTCTACAAGCTAAATTTCTAAATCCATCTTAGGAAAACCTGGGATATAGCAAAGCATGCTTAGGGATGTTGAAATGAATGTTCTAGGTTTGTTTTTGAAAGTAGATAAGCTGTATGACCTCAAGAAAGCATCTTTCCTATATTGAACTCAATTTCTTCACACATAATGTGGGAGATTCAGGCTACATGGAATACTGGCTATCCTCTGCCCTAGAAGTCTATGATTTTTGAGGACAGGGAATATATCTGTCAAAAGTTTCTAGAAGGAGAAATGCAAAATGATAAACTGTTTGTCCCTGCCCCTGGGATACATCCCAGAAATAGGAGACCATGTAATGTATGTAGAGACTCTCTGATCATGTAAAGCAAAATATAGGCTAAAACTCTTAGCCCCTCCTGACTGGATCCCTGGACATTATAAGTTAAATGATTTAGGAATGCTAGCCCCATGATCCAGCTTCTATCCAAGCGGGCTGATACAGCCATCTCTCTACATCCAGGAGGTAACTTGATTTCATAAATGCTTTCTCCAATTTAACCAATTTATTTGAACCCCCATATCCCTATTGCCACATAGTTTACACACCTACCTCTTAGATTTACCACACACCCATGTTCCACTGACTGAGCATTGCTCTCTCTCTCTCTCTCTCTCTCTCTCTCTCTCTCCCATGACTCTGGAAAGCAGCACTTCATATCTCCTATACTCTGTATTCACAATTTCTTGGTTTTTCTACTTCTATCCCTACCTTCGTTCTTACGAATCCCTGGAACATATCCATGTTATTCTGCTGCTATTATCATCATAACTAAAGTCTTCTTACCCAGCCTGGATGAACTGTGACGGCTAGAACTAGGACACAAGTCATGGAGCGCAGGAACTGACAGGAAATTGACTGTTTCTCATTATCACCATCACCACCAACACTCACTGAGCCCTTACTATGGGCCAGTCCTGTGCTTAGTGCTTGGCATGCAAAATCTTATTCACTCATTAAGGTAAATCTGTAAGGATAATTTAACCACCAATTTGCAAAAGAGAAAACTGAGGCTGAGAAAGAGGTGATGTAACTTACTTACAGACACAGCTAGCAGTGCTAAAGTCAGTTTGAAACATAGCCCTATTTAACTCTACATCATGACATTTCTTCATCCTTTGTGGCCATATTTTAATGTAACTTCTTAGTTTTTAATAATTTTGTCTTCCTTAAAGATTATATAAATCTTCATGATAAAAATTTCAATGATGAAAAAGAGCCATTGTGAAAAGCAAAGGTATCTTCATAGCTTTCTTCCCAGACATAACAGTTGTTAAGTGTTTTAAGTGTATTTTTCAAAAATATTCTATAAACATCAGTACATAGAGTATATTTTTTACAAAAGTAGGGTCATATTTCACAAATAGCTATGAATCATGAATTTTAAGTCAAAATAGATCTTATGCATCTTAAATATCTTTTATATTGATTATCCAGTCTACTAGGTTATCTGTAGGTTTTAGCTATTATAAAAATGCTACAATAGAAACCCTGCATAAATATCTTTTTGGTGTTATTGTTTGTTTTTTAGACAAGGTCTCTCTATGTAGCTCAGACTGACTTTAAACTTGCAATCCTCCTTCTTCTGAGTCCCAAGTGCTGAGATTATAAGCAGGGTCTTCATATCCAGATCTCTATATAAATATCTTCATCTATCTTATGTCTATATCCTTAAAGGAGTTAGGGGGAACTCAATTTTCTGGGTCAAAGTTTATATGTATTTTATAAATTTGGTAGATGACATCAAGTTGCCATTCAAGGTAGTGTCAAATTTGCATACCCAACTAGAGCATATCAGGGTGCTTGCTTATTCAAAACTTCGTCAGTATTATCAATCTATTTAAGCAGTGCCAATCTGATGAGAAAGAAAAGGAATAGTATTTTATAATTGTTTTTATTGGTATATATTTAATTTATATTGAGGATGGGATATATATTTATATATTTATTGTCTGTTGGAGGTTCTCAATGATTCATATATTTTATATATTCATATATTCATATTCATATATTTTCACACTTTTCTATTGAATATTTTGTACATGAAATACTTTTACAGATCAAAGTAATTAGCCTTGACTATCATATGTGCTTCAATATATTTTCTAAGATTCAGATCTGAGTTTTTACATTTGTTTATGGTACTTCTTGTTTCTTACAAACATGTTAGAAACAGAATTGATTATTGATGTTTTGTTTTTCCTCAGTTCCAGTATGCAATCCTGTCCTCACTCTCAAGACACCCAGGGCCCAGGCTGTGGTGGGGGAAGTGGTGGAGCTTCACTGTGAGGCCCTGAGAGGCTCTCCCCCCATCTTGTACCAGTTTTATCATGAGAATGTCATCATGGGGAGCAACTCAGCCCCCTTTGGAGGAGGAGTGTCCTTCAACCTCTCAGTGACTGAGGAACATTCTGGAAACTACTCCTGTGAGGCCAACAATGGCTTGGGGCCCCAACACAGTGAGGTTGTGACAATCAAATTCAAAGGTGAATTGACCCTCCCACTAGCCACACAGCCAAGAACTGACTGTGTCTTCTCTTCCTAGAAGCTGAAAATGAAGCTACAGTGCTCCTCAGGGCTATTCTCTGCCATGGCATCTTAACATAATTCCTGCCCTTACTTGAAAGTCTGAGATCCTTCCTATTGTTCATTTTCAGGCATCTGGACTTTCCCAGGAACACAGTTCATAAGGCCCTCTTGAATGTAATCAAAACTCCACATTAAAAAATGCTGAGAATAATTTTTAGAACATAGAGTATATTTGATATAAAGTTATGACACAAAGAGAAACCAGAGAATTCTGGTTTTGAGATTTTTCTGCCTCCCAAAATATTAAATCATTGCTTGTCTGGATTATTCCTTCACTGACTCCCAGCAAGCCTCTACTCTTGAGAATCCTTCATTACCAGGAATATAAATGTTCCTGGTACACCTTTAAAATAATATGTTAATATTAATATATATATTGTTAATATTAACATATAGTATGTACAATCTTTCAGCAGAGACACCCTCTATAAGCCAAACCTCTAAATCCTTTCTGTAGAGACCTGGGATATAGCAAAGTATGCTTAGAACACTCATTAGTGTTCTAGATTTCTTTTTTAAAGTAGCTAAACTATATGACCTCAGAAAAACAACTTCCCCATATTACCCTCAATTTCCTAATCCATAAAGTGGGAAAATCAGACCAAATGGAAATGACCACATTCCCTGTCCCAGAAGTCTTATTTTAGTGGACAGGGAATATGCAGATTAAAAAGTTCCCAGAAGGAGACACGCAAAGTTAGAAGTTGGTTGTCCCTGCCTTTGGGATACATGCCAGTAATAGAAGACAATGCAATGTATGCAAATACCCTCTGATCATGTAAAGTAAAATACAGGCTAAAACTCTTAGCCACTCTTGGCTGGATCCCTGGGCATCATAAAGCATAGAGACAAAGTTAAATGAGCAGGATAATTTGAGAATGCTAGCCCAGAAACCAGTTTCTATCCAAGGGGGATGCTGCAGCCATTTCTTTACATCTGGGAGGTAACTGCATTTCAGAATTGCTTTCTTCCATTCAATCAGCTAATTCCCATACCCATACCCCAGCAGTACCTGACATAGTCAATTTCCTTATGAGATTTAGAGGGACTGTGGCTATATGGTTTACAAACCTACCTCTTAGATTCACCACACAGGCACATTCCACTGATTGTTTCTGTTTCTCTCTCTCTCTCTCTCTCTCTCTCTCTCTCTCTCTCTCTTCATAATTCAAGGAGTCATCACCTCATATCCTCCTACACTCTGCATTCACAATTTCCTGATTTTCTGCTCATTGCCACATCCATGTTATTCTGTTGCTTTTATCATCATAGCTAAAGTCTTCTTACCCAGCATGAATGAATTGTGACTAAGTGCTAGAACTAGGGCACAAGTCATGGAGAACAGGAACTGACAGGAAATTGACTGTTTCTCATTATAACCATCACCATCAACACTCACTGGAGCCCTCACCATGGGCCAGTCCTGTGCTTAGTGCTTGGCATGCAAAATCTCATTCACTCATTAAGGTAAATCTGTGAGGACAATTTAACCCCCAATTTGCAAAAGAGAAAACTGAAGCTGAGAGAGAGGTGATGTAACTTACTTACAGACAAGCTAGCAGTGCTAAAGTCAGTTTGAAACATAGCCCTATCCAACTCTATATCATGACATTTCTTCATCCTTTGTGGCCATGTTTTAATATAACTTTTTAGTTTTATTAATTTGGTATCCTTAAAGAGTATTATAAACCTTCATGATAAAAATTCCAATGATAGAAAAAGACCATTATGAAAAGCAAAGGTATCTTTCTAGCTTTCTTCCCAGACACAGTCATTAAATGTTTTGAGTATATTTTTCAAAAATATTCTATAAACATTAAGGCATAGAATTTTTTTTTAAAAACTAGGATCATATTTCACAAATAGCTATGAATCTTTAATTTTAAGTTTAAAATAGATCTTATACATTTTGGATAAGATGCTGCAATAGAAATCTTGTACAAATGTCTTTTTGGTGCTATTGTTATTTTTAGACAAGATCTCTTTATGTAGCTCAGGCTGGCCTTAAACTTCCTTCCTCTGCCTCCCAAGTGCTGGGAATTATAAGCGTGCATCTTCACACCCAGATCTCCATAGAAATATCCTTACCTACCTCACTAAAGAAGATGGTCCTAGAAGTCAATTTTCTGGGTCAAAGTTTACATGTGTTTTATTAATCTGGTAGACAATGCCAAATTGCCATTCGAGGAAGTGTCAAATTTGCATTCCTAATAAGGGCTTATCAAGGTGCCTGTTTATTCACAACCTCGTCAGTATTATCAATCTATTTAAGCCGTGCCAATCTGATGAGAAACATAAGAAATAGTATTTTATGGTTGTTTTTACTTATAAATATTTAATTAATAGTGAAGATGAGAATCTTTTATATATTTATTGTCTATTGGTAGTTCTCAGTGCTTCATATACTTTTTTACTCTTCTATTGAATATTTTTGTACATATAAAATTTTTTTAAGATCAAAGTAATTAGCTTGTCTGTCATATGTACTTCAATCTATCCTCTAAAACTGAGATCTGAGTTTTTACATTTGCTTACAATACATCTTGGTCCTTACAAACATATTAGAAGCAGAATCAATTATTAAACTTTTGTATTGTTTTTCCCTCAGTTCCAGTGTCCCGCCCTGTCCTCACATTCAGAATCCCCAGAGACCATGCAGTGGTGGGGGACATGGTGGAGCTTCACTGTGAGGTCCTGAGAGGCTCTCCCCCAATTCTGTACCTGTTTTATCATGAGGATGTCACTATTGGAAACAGCTCAGCCCCTTCAGGAGGAGGAACATCTTTCAACTTCTCCCTGACTAAGGAACATTCTGGAAACTACTCCTGTGAGGCCAAAAATGGCCTTTGGTCCCAGCGCAGTGAAAGGGTGACACTTTGCATCACAGGTAAGTTTCTTATGTCCAGGCCACAAATGTGGACAAAATGTTTGCTCCAGTGACACTGATAATCCTCACGATGCTTAATCAGGAGAGTGCTTCTCAAGAAGTACACTGTGCTGGTAGCTCTCTACAGGGTTATATTCTAAAGTGTTTCTGAAGTAGTGATAGGGTTTGGGGAAGCTGCACAGAGCATAACTGAATTCAGAGCTCATCTGCTTGTTGCCTCTTCTCCCTGGCCACCATCTATCTTGACTCTCAGTCTTGTTTCAGAGATGAGCTTTTCACATAGGAGCCATTTCCTGTGTCATGCCAGCCCCTGCTGAATCTCAGAGTCACCCAGGTTCCTCCTTTCTCCCAGGGCCAGGCATCAATTTCAGCAATCAGGGCTGTTCAAGACCACAAGCCTTTCTCTCGGGCTCATCCATGGGGTTTCCTCCTCAGGGCTGACCGGGAACAGAAGTGGTTCTGTAGCCACAAGAGTCACCGGGGGGCTGCTCAGCATGATGGGCCTGGCTGCTGGAGCACTACTGTTCTATTGCTGGCTCTCAAGAAAAGCAGGTAGGTAGCTCCCTAGCATAACTTTGCTCGATCCAAAGCTTATGTTCTGTGACTTTCAGCTCATGTTGACTGTGTAACCACAACTAAGCTTTCAAGAGCTCTTTTTCTTCCATCCCATGATCCTTCACTTTTCCCTCTGGGTCCCTCAGATGTTCTCTTTACCAAATACCAAGTTGCTTTAACAGCCTTATTAGACAGAGTATGCCTGATGAGATGCCATTTATCCAGTGTCATAAACAGTAGTGTATCTCCCTCTGTACTTAAAAGACCCCCCAAGGAATGGGACAAGGAAGAGAAAGACTCAGAAACAGAAGGGAAAACAGAAACCATATGGGATTTGATAATTTACTGATTTTTAAAATGTATAATATTTTTATAGATGATTAAGTCTGTGTTACTGTCTGTAGCTATTAAGTTGACTTTGATTTTCAAATATTGTTTTCTTCCTTCTTTTTTATTAGTGTATATTAATTGTACAAAGGGATTTCATTATGGTATTTCCATATATGCATATAATGTACTTTGATCAAATTTACCTCCTCTCTTAATCTTTCTTTCCTTCCTCCTACAATTTTAAACAACTAAATGGGTTTCTTTATTCTATTTTCACACATGCTAATGACCCAAACAATGTATGCACATGTAAATAAATTAAAAAAAAAAGAAGTACTTTGTTCAAAGATCATTATCTTTAAAGTAAAACTCAGATTAAGAGATTATGGATTGTGGACTCTTCTTCCACATTGTAACTATACCCTTCCTTGGGCATAGCAAAGGACACTGGCAATCTCTGTGTGAGCCTCTTCTGAGTTGTGCCCCCTGCAAAGGTCTTCTTTTTCTGAATCCAGTGTCCCTGTGCTTTTCTTTGCAGGGAAAAAGCCCGCTTCTGACACATCCAGGTAAGACCTGGGCTGTATTTCTGTGTAGTTAATGAAATGTCCACTGAGGAGAAAAATGGATCATAACCAAAGCCCAGTTTCTGTTGCATGTTGCTGAGATGGGAGGCACCCATGTCATGTTGCCACTTCCCTTGGGATATCTTCTCACTCACCACCTTAGCAGTATAGCCCTTCTTCTCATATCATCTGTTAACTGATTTTCATTTATTAACTTGCATATTTGTACCATTGTTGGCTTGATTTTCTAAGTGACCACTATGGCCACTGAATCCATCCATGTTTTGAAATGACATAGCTTAATTGGTCTGGAAATCTCTGAGTATAGACAAACTAATCAAACCTGTTGTGATGACAGCCAAGAAGATGGAGCCACACATCTTGATCACCCAGAGAGGTCACTCTGCCAGTGAAAGGTGGGGCCATCTTGAATACTGAGGCTGACTTTAATAGTCACACCATGTTCATAAACTATCATTAGGAACCCCTCGATAGTAGTATCCATACGATCTGAGTTCCTTTGAGCTTTTCTGTTACTGGTTTCTCTGAGATTCCAGTCTCTCAGAGAGGGGAGGTTTTAGAGCCTGATTTGAATCTTGACTCTTCCCCTTTCTGGTTATATGGTCTTAGTAAGCCACTTCACCTTGTAGAACCACCACTTTTATTCTGTAAAATGGAGATAAAATAGAACAGTATTGTTCTAAGCAATAGCACAATGCCTGTTACTTAGCTAGAGGCCATAAAGCATAGAAACACAGATAATGTTATTTTCTCATGATTCATAATGTAATACTCAAACCATTTGTTATGTACTTGTCTATGTTTCCAGACTTAGCAGCCACTCTGTGATAAAAACTCACAGAGTGACCATCATAACTGCTTTGTCCAGCTTCTTAGAAAACATCACTGTTTATCTCACAGGAGTTTAGACTTATACTCCCAAGAGCCCACCTACCACAATGTACCAACCTGGATAGAACTGCAACCAGTGTACAGCAATGGTGAGGACCAAGAGACCTCTGGTTTGTCAGGGACCACAGGGTTGATACAGGAAGGGCATGGGGCATGAAATGAAGGGGGACTTGACATAGGCCTGGAGGCCTCCAGTTCTTCCAGAGAATAAACTGGCTGGGGAAGGAGAAAGTAGCTGAGACAAGAGGCAAGTACCTTAGCATTCTCTGAAACTTGAATTTCTTTCTAAGTAAATCCTAGAGGAGGAGATGTGGTTTACTCAGAAGTACAGAGCATCCAAAAGAAGAAGAAACATACAGGTAAGACCTGGAGGGGCAATGCAGACCCAGGGCTCAGTCCATGGTAGTCTCTAAAACCTGTTCCAGCCCACTCTGCCTCTCCATAATATATACATGTGTTTAAGATCAAAGAACAAATAAGATATAAAGGTTATTGCCCTTCCTTTCAAATTCCCTAGTCACCTCAGGGTGGGGAACAAAGTACAGGATGATTTTAAAGGGAGGGCTGGTCAGTGCTGTGAAGCCAAGGATAGGATGGAGCAGGTGCTAGATAGAGAGAGGACCAGGGAAACAAGGTGGCCTAACAGTACAGGAGCACAGAAGGCTCCAAGGGGCCTCCCTATCTGAAAACTGCCCTTCTTTCCACAGTGGCCTCTGAACCCCAGGTCCCCATGAACAAGGTGAGTTTCCTGACTTACATGGGCTCCACCATAGGTCACCAGCTATGGCCCTCACTTCTGTACTCTTTTCCCTTAGGGCTTCTCTGTCATCTACTCTGAGGTGAAAGTGGTGTGCACCCCAACCTCCAGGCCCCAGCAGTTGGGCTCCTCAGCTCCTCACACATGAGTCCACAAATCTGTCCAGCTGCTACCTCAGCTTCTGCACCTCAGCATTCTCTGTGGGACAGAGAAAGCATTGAAGTGGGTGAACTTAAGCTTCTCCAGGCCACATCCAGTGGTCTTTGTGTCAAGTGCCCACGCTCTCAGTCTGATCACAGCTCAAGACCCTGCCTGTTTCCTAGGCTACAGAACTGCACTAATGGTACTTTTTATCTAATGATAAATTGCTCTCCATCCAGGGCACATCACATCTCCTGGCTTCCTTAGTGGGCTTCAGCTGTGGTTGCTATGAGGATGGCTCCTCAACTGCAGCTTGAAGGCTCTGCTCTCAGGGGCCCATTTCTCAATTGCCATCTATCTGGTGGGGCTTCTGGCACAGTATGCCAAATGGAAAGCATTTCCCATAGATGATGGACTCATTGTGGAACTCCCTCCAGTGGGACTGCATTTAACCTTTTTCTACCTGTCTGAAACTCTAATGTTAGCACCTGACTCCAAGATAATCTCTCCCGCTCATGTGGCAACAACTACTCACCTAAGTAAGTGGATTTTATACCCTAGGCCTCAGGTCTTTCACAACCTGTCAGAAGTAACCTTGCAAAGCCAAGGCCAAGAGCACAAGGGAAGAGATAGATGTGTATTGGACTATAGGAGGTACCCAATTACTATTTGACTGAATAAATAGATGAATAAACAAGGAAGAAATTGTGGGTATCAAAATTGATATTGAATCCAGCATATTCCCCAGAAAACTCAGGAAGTCCTCTCTTCTTTCACCTGAAATAAAGTAAAAGAGCTGGATTAAAGAAAACTGTTCAACAAAAGGGAAGGTTTCTCAAACTTTAATGTGCTAATAATCCTATGAAGATGTTGTGAAAATGCAGATTCTGAGTCTGTGGAGCTGAGATTCTATATTTCTAACAAGCTTCTTAGTGATGCTGATGTGATGGTTCTGGGACCACACTGAGAGTGGAGACACTATAGGTCTTGTCAGACGCCTTGTGAAGCAGCTCTGCCTACCCTCTACCTAACGCTAAGGGGGCCATTCACGAAGATCACATGGCACCCTGAGTCATCCTCCATCCACAGCACCAACAGATGCTGTGACTGAGAGAACATCATAGCAGCATCTCATGTTTCATCCACCACCCTGGGCAGGGGAAGTGACTGCCACCATCTTTGTTTCCCCACCTCAGGTCTCACTTTCCCATGAAGAGTAAATGAACACTCTGAATGAATGCACCCTCTTCATTCAAAGTGGTTCCCTCCTTCTGAGCCACAGATCCTTTGTTCCACTTTTATGATACCTGTCACACCTTCTCTTGATCTCTGACTGTGGTGGATTATACTGTGGGATCATTTATTTCTAAGCCCTGTTGCCCTGAAATAAAATTCTTCCTAGGGCCCTTAAGGCTCTCCTTCTGCCTGCCTTCACAAGCTCCCCATTGCTCATGCCTACCAGACCCTGCACCTGGTCAGGAGTGCTCTTCTCTATTCCCTACACAGTCTTTCTGCACATCCTCCTACTGGAAGGCCTTTCCCTGCAACTCCCTCAGCTCATTCCTTAAGCCCCAATGCAAATATCAGCCCTACCAGAATCAGAGTTCTCCTTTGGGCTCCTATAGCACACTTACACAGAGATTTAGAATTTCCAAAGTTAATACTGGAAGAGAACTTAGAGTTCATCAGAAAAACTGAAATTGAGAACCAGAGAGGAGAAGCAACCGGATGAAAATCATACACCACCAAAGCCTAGACTGAAATAAACCCAGGGCCCCTAATCTGCAAGACCACATTCTTCCTTCCATATCTTTCTGTTGCAGAGATGTGGGCATGTCTCTGTTTCCCCCACAAGGGTGACAGTTCCTTGACGGCACAGAGTAAGTCCTATCAATGTACACAGTGAGCCCGGCATGGTGTCTGTCATATAGCTGGTTTTCAATAAATGGCTGTCGAAGGGAATGTTGGGTAAATTTTCCCGATGAGTATACAAAATCTCCAAAAATTTATTCATAGTTTTACCTACTCACTCTTAATCCAGAGGAATTCAATACATGTCCTCAGAGCTCAGAGATTTTAGGATACCAATAATGTAAGTTCTACTAGGTTTATCTGTCATTCTGAAGTAACCTTTTTGTCTTGTTCAAAACTCCAATGATCAGCAGATACCTGAAACACAAGAGAAAACCCAATCAGGTATCCCCCACAAAATATGTTCCCTTCTTCTCTCCATACACCCCCATCTCTCTTTTCTCTTTCCCTCCCTCCCTATTATTTTTTTTTAGTTGCAGTTAGTCCTCTCTCCCTAGTTACGCCAGACAGGAGATGTATGGAAGTCTGAGTATCTACATTGAATTGTGCATCCAGTCCAATCCAATCTACTTTTTGTCATAAATATCTCTTGAATATCCCTCTTTCCAGTGCCCCAGACACTACTTTGGTACAGGGTTGTGTCTCTGACCACCAAGACTATAACTGGTTTCCATACATACCTCCCCACAGCAATAGTGTAGACAACCCTGTTCATTGTGCTGCTGGAAATCCTTCATTTTTCAGAAAGTTCAGACTTTACTGGATGCCTGAGGTTCTGCACAGTTAGCATTCTAAATTTCAATTTCAGCAACCATTACTTCCAACCCTTAACAGTAGTTACTTTGTGCTCCTGCCACACATATCTCTTCCATTTCCTGCACAAACCACCTCCTTTCAATGTCTGTTCCTTTGCACATGTGTCTTTTCCTAATAACTGTCCTGTGTTTATCTTATCTGTCAAGCTTATATGTCCTCCAAGACCCAATTCAGGTGTCATCTTTCAGGGAAGTCTCACTTTTCCCTCTAGGTCTCCATAACTTTTGCGTCTTTGTTTCTCGTAGTCCTTCTAAGAGTGTGCGTGTGCGTGTGTGTGTGCAAATACATAGGTTTCTGCTTCTCTTTTCATACTTAAAGCAGCTCCCGGGTTGAGTGTTGCACTATTTCTAGTTGATACCCCTCCCCACATCCTCACTTAACAACCATCCTTAGTACAGGGCCTGGTAAATCAGATACTTGAGTCTTAGTGAATAAATGTGTTCAGTGAGACTTTTCTTATTTCTCAGAATAATACTTATAACCCCAAAGCTGAATTTGGCAGCTCAAAGTTACTCTCATGTTCAGTTCCTTCCACAGGATTGACTAAGAAGTGGCCATGCCAACCCTGCAATGCTCCCAGCTACACACAAATCCTTTATCAATTGATGCATAGTTCCTTAAAGTGATGATGATGGAAGAGATGGTAATCCAGTGAGGATGCTATGCACTGTACCTCCCCTCCAAATCCAGTCAAGGAAGACAGAACACCTAGATAACTTTTCAAAGAATATAAGAGTGTCCTTCATCACTTAGGGATGTTGGTGAAGCTCAGGATCTTACAGGCTTCTCCTGAAGCACCCCCAAAGCACAGCCAAATCACAGAATTCTTGGAGTATCTTGACAGAAGTGCCCTAGAATTTGAGGGTGTGAGGGAGAAATGCCTCCTCATAACACCTGTCATTGATCCTATGTGGAGGGAGCCCCATTGGCACCATATTCCTGGCCCTTCTCTGACCTCACTCCCTCCTCACTGTCCAGAAGAGGATCAGCTACCTAGCTCTAGAGTGGGTTTAGGAGAGTACCTCGGTCTTTTTTTCCCATGGTCAAGGATATCCTACAGGAGCTCATGTTCTCCTCTGTCCTAAGTTTTAAAGAACCTGTCTCTCAAAAAAAAAAAAAAAAGATGCCTGCAGTTTCCAGGAATATAACTTCAACCTCAATGTCAGGTAAATGAGGCTTCAATTCTTGATAAATAGAGAGCGAAGAAATCATGAGAGAAAAGACTCAGCAAAGATGGAGGCTTCTGCTACAGCCAGGGCAGACAGCTTTGTGTTTCTGGTACTTACCTGCTACTGGCAATGCAGGCCTTTTACCATGACTGTTTATTTGGAGTGTAAGTTGGTTTGGAGCTGAATTAACTTTTGACTACTGAACCCAGGAGATGAGCTATAAGCCTCAGTTTTGTGGCAGATCACTAGGCCTTTG